TATTATTATTATTATTATTATTATTATTATTTTAATTCGAGGTCAAGATAATGTCCTTCGTAATGCGAGAGTAAAAAAAATAAAAAATGCACTAGAACAATTTTTCGCGTGCGCTTATGTTTTCCTATATAATTTTCCTATGGTATCTAATGTCGATCTTATGTGTATTTACTTTGACAAGGGAGGAAACTACAGTCGCCATATTTGAACAAATAACTCAATTTAAACCACGATTTCATCGTATTTTAAACCTCGAACTCCACAAAAAAAACTTGATCAAAATGATCCCTAATGTGGAGAACTAATTTATTTAAAACTCTTTTGGCACTTTTTCCAATGTTTTTGTCTTTCGCTTGCAGAAAAGTTTCCGCCATGTTATGTCAAGGTTCTTACCTGCGTAGGACTCGGGCGAGAACGAATTTCGACTTTATTACTCTCCCGCACAGGATTTTTGTAACGTGTACTCGACCCACCACCAGCCACCCCACAGGACTAGTTTTGTTCTGGAAAATTCCTTCCACAAAGTCTACTATGGTCGACATTTTTTTTTCTTTTTTGGTTGGTTTTACTTTGAAAAATGAAAGATAACTACAGATAATTCAACACGATATCAGGTTTAGTGAAAATTATGATGGATTTCTTTCATTTAACTTGAAATTTTGGAGATTTCCGGACTTTTTCAGGACAAAACTGCATCATCTCGAAATCTTGTAAGCAAGTAGGTCTTTAGTCTCCCCCACAGCCGCTTTCAGTGTCGTCACGCAACGCTTTCTCCCCTGAGAGCTACTCAGGGGAGAAAGCGTTGTGTGACGACACTGAAAGCGGCTGTGGGGGAGACTAGTAAGTCTTGGGCTCCCTGTGGTCCCTAATACCATGGTGCTCAGGGATATTAAAGGTTCCGACGCACGGTGCAACATTGCACCCAACATTGCAAGCAACAAATTTGAATCGGAGTGACACACATTGCAACAAAAGCAACGTTGCATGCAACAAGTTTCAGGGGTACTCACGCTGCAACATTCCTGTTCCGTGCAATGTTGCATGCAATGTTGCACCGTGTGTCAGCATGTTAAAACACTTTTTCCGTACTCCACCGGTTCAGTAATAAAGAACGCAGGAGTGACAACTTTCGTGGATATTCTGGTTGAGTGACCAAGAACAAAACAATCTGAGTCGAGGCTCAGGGGAAACAAAAGAACAACTATGATTACGCTAATGTTTCCCCGGAGCCTCGACTTGGATCGTTTGTGCTTGATTACTCAACCAGAATATCGAAAGCTGCCATCTTAGAGAAAACGTTTTGAAAGTGCATAGCTTTTCACAATTTGCTATAATGTTTAAAAGAGTTTTTGTTAGCATTTTGGATGTACATTTCTCCGCATTTTTTTATTTGAAAAAAGTTTTTTGTTTACTAGTGAAAATTCTAGCCTGGCATTCAGGGCAAATCGCTCAAAATTGTTGAATGTGGAATTTTTCCAACTTAGATGCGTTAGTTAGTACCTGCGGTTTCTGGCGTCATAGTAGTCAAAGGGTTCAAATCCCTATGACTTTCGCTTACTCCCATGTTGTATTACTTATAATCAGATTATATATCTTTATTACATATTTTTTGATGCAGGTCGGTTGTCGGACGGTCGATCGAAGCGAGAAGTAAGTCTGTTCACTAAAAGCTGGTTGTCTAAAAGGGCCATTGGACCAATCCGCGGTAAGAGTTTCTAATAAGCTAACTTGCCGTAAAAATATTTTCAATGTAACCAAAGTACCTTTGTTGTTCTTTTTGAGAAATTGGGTTTTAAGTTATGATTTTTTAAATACTGGCTTATATAACTGATGAAAAGTGTTTGTAAAGCGCTAACAAAGTTTCTCTTGTAAACAAATCAAGCCAAAGTCTGGCTTTCGCGCTTAAAATTCCACAGGACTCCCGCAATCTGTTTTTGTTTTTGTTTTCTGGAATCCTAAAATGTATACAATTATGTTTTTAAAACTTCTGTCTTATTTGATTGACTATCCTCAATAGCCAATGCAATTCGTTTAAACCGTCCAGACATTCTCAAAGAAGGCAATGGTACAGGTCGAGTAGAAGTATACAACAACGGAAGATGGGGTACCGTATGTGATAAAGATTGGGACTTTCAGGATGCACAGGTAAACACTATAAAAACAATATAATCGTCTAGGTCTGGGTAGGTTTGGAAACATCGGTTAACCTATGCCAAACTCATGTGTAATGATGACTGGAATTTGACACCTCTTTGTGGTAAACTTTTCATCATCAGCACCATTTCAAACCAAGAAATCTAGACTTTTAACATCAAAATTGCAACGATTCCGTGCGTTTCAGAGGGCAAGGGATTAGCTGTAGGTATGGTCTAGGGGCCGGCTAGTCTCTCCCCTGATAGTTCCCCGGCTAGAACATTTTCTTGCGTAATTCGTACACCCAAGGGCGGAAGGCCTTAAGGTGGCTCGACCCCCTCACGCTTGACCGCTACCTTCCACTTTTGGAACGCTAGTGCATAAACGTCTTTTATCCTATTGCAAATCTTTTTTGCACATAAGTCACATAAAGATTGAATTAATGTTTCATGCAGTTTTTTATGAGATCGGACGTCATAACACGTGATTGCGATGAAATATTTGATTTCGTTTAGTTTGCAGATCGTTCAACACTAAAATGCTTCGTACCACATAATTATATACTAGATGCCTCCATTTGTGGGGATTTTTGAAAAAATCTATCTAGCTAATAATGAGATATTTGAGATTATTTAAATATAGCGCATAATCTACTTCAAAACTGAACAATGGATTTCATACGGCCGAAATTAATATTTCAGAGCTATATATTCACAAAAGTTATTGCTCATTCAGTTTTACTCTGTATCTAGTTTTTAAAGGAGCATTTTGAAGGTAATCGACTTATGCGATTTTGTGAAAACTTATAGTGCAGAAGACGGGGTAAACATTTGATGCGCACTTTTCATCGCAGTTTTCTAGTCAATCTTACTAGATCTTCCATTATTCTAAAATTCGCTGATCATTTCTCTCAAAACTACGTCAGGATACAAATTTGAACTTAAACTAATATTAAGCAAAATTGCAAGACTATTGAACTCATTTAAAGCGATCTAAAGCGAACGAGAAATACAGAAAACATTGATCGTTTCCCAACGATTTGATGCTCTGGGAATTCTATTGTTTGCTAATGATCATAACACCGAATTCTTTCGCACCATGCACGGTCTCATCTCTCGCTTGGCTGCTTTCCGATTTACTCCCGAAGTATGGTTCTTTATCTAAACTCAAAAGTCTTACTCGCTTCTTTCTTGAAGTTTTAATTTGAGGCATGTTTGCCGATTCTATTCACTCACACTGACAAAGTACATCATGACAAACGTCCCACGTTTGAATAAAAAAGCAACTGTTTGTTACCAAACTTCGGGGGTAAATCGGAAAGCAGCCAAGCGAGATGAGACCGTGCATGGTGCGAAAGAATTTGATGTTATGATCATTAGCAAACAATAGAATTCCCAGAGCATCAAATCGTTGGGAAACGATCAATGTTTTCTGTATTTCTCGTTCGCTTTAGATCGCTTTAAATGAGTTCAATAGTCTTGCAATTTTGCTTAATATTAGTTTAAGTTCAAATTTGTATCCTGACGTAGTTTTGAGAGAAATGATCAGCGAATTTTAGAATAATGGAAGATCTAGTAAGATTGACTAGAAAACTGCGATGAAAAGTGCGCATCAAATGTTTACCCCGTCTTCTGCACTATAAGTTTTCACAAAATCGCATAAGTCGATTACCTTCAAAATGCTCCTTT